CTCCCCCCCCCCCCCCCCCCCCCCCCCCCCTTCTCTCTCTTTATCTGTCCTTATTTAACTTTATGAGTCCAATATCCGGAATTAATCATCTGTCATTAAACCTCTGTTGTTTTTGCCAAAATGCAAACACGCGCTCCTTTCCTTTATTGTGGCTTTATTGTAACAACTCCCTCTAGCGGTAGATTTGCGTAATGTCCTGCCTTTTGCTCATCCCTTTTGGTGTATTTTCTTATGAATATTTTACATGTTTTTTTTTATATAATAATAAATGCAAAACAGAACTGGGCGAATGACATTCTTGCCATCGCCTACAACGCCGAGAGAAACAATTCCTGCAGACAAGTTTATCTTGAGAAGATGTGAGTGACTTCCTCCTAATCTTCACAACAACAACAACAAAAAAAAAACAAAAACAAAAAACATTTGGTGTAATTTCATCCTGACTCTGATGATGTTCTCACTGTTTTCAAACCCAGATACGTTCGCATTTCTCTCCAGACCAACAAAGATGGAAAGATACCGGTGAAGAAGTAAGTGTCCGTGAAGGCATCTGGAGAGGTTCACTGGTCTCTGGACTGTTGATGCTCAGTCGGATGTTTCGCTTTGTTTCCTCAGTATTTACAAAATGTTTCCTGCGGATAAGAAGAGGGTGGAGAGCGCCTTGGCCGCCGCACATCTCCCGAAGGGAAAGGTCAGGAATCCAACGTGTCGGATGAAGAAGCTGCTGTGTTTATATTTATATTTATATTTATATTTATATTTATATTTATATTTATGTTTATATTTATATTTATGTTTATGTTTATGTTTATATTTATATTTATATTTATATTTATGTTTATGTTTATGTTTATGTTTATATTTATATTTATATTTATATTTATATTTATATTTATATTTATATTTATATTTATATTTATATTTATATTTATATTTATATTTATATTTATATTTATATTATTTATGTTTTTTTTTTAGCATGACACAATGAAGCCAGATGTCTTCACTGAAGCTGCCTTCAAGGCGTTTCTGTACAGTCTCTGTCCTCGACCGGAGATCTACGAGATCTTCACTTCCTAGTGAGTCACCTGATCCTGTTTCATGATATGTTTGTCTACATTTATGTGTGTATGTAAATATAAATATATTCCCCAGCTCTCCAGAATAAAAGTAAAATAATAAAATGCCCCAAACAACCACAAAAATGACATTTTAACAAGACCAAAACAAGAAAAAAAAGCATTTTACATACTTTATATACTAGTACACGCAGAATCTTTTCCTAGGCTTAAAAAAATGGGTCTGTCCTTTAAACCGTTCGTCCAATCACAATACAGAGGCCTTGATTCCAACACACGCCGACGAGTGATGCTTTTGACTAAATCAAAGTGGTTCAGCTTCAACCGCAACGTACGCACGTTTGACAGAAGAAAATCACATTAGATGATCTGTAGTAATTATTGTTATGTTGATTGAACTCATCGTGAAGTCAATGTAATTATAGACCAGGCGTGGGCAAACTTTTTTTTAATCGCAGGCCACAATTGTCCTAAAATTGAACAGAGGGGGCCGGGTCAGGAGTAGATAGATGGAGCGTTCATGTAAACTCATGCATAAAGGCTAAAATGCGTTTATTATTTTTATACGTCATCTATTGGAGAAACGTGGGTATTGCAGGAAAAAAGCTGAAAATAATCATAATACAAATAATATAAAATTATATAATTTTGAAAAGTTTGGTGGGCCGAATTAAAGAGTTGAACGGGCCGCATCCGGCCCCCGGGCCTTAGTTTGCCCATGCCTGTTATAGACACATACATTTACAAGTAAAACAGGAAGATTGAGAAAGAGAAAGAGAGAGAAAGAGAGAGAGAGAGAGAGGCTTGACTAAAGCTAGTCTAATTGGCCTAGTTATTATTTATATCCAATATATTGAAAGCTATAAATACGTGTCGAGAGATTCAGAGCTGCTCCTGCTCTCACATCAGTTTTAGCCAATCACATTTTTCCAGGTCATGCAGTGAACTTCCTGGCCTGGCCTCAGGTGGCGGCAGAGATGATGTGATCGTCACAGCTCGCTCTATTTTCCTCCACAGTTCCACGAAACCCACCATGACGAAGGAGATCTTCACCAAGTTCCTGAACGAGAAACAACGAGATCCCAGGCTGAACGAGGAACTTTTCCCACGTCTGCGTCAGGATCAGATCAAGGCCCTGATTGACAAATATGAACCCCAGACAACTAACTCTAACAGAGGTGAGGCTGGTGGGATTATACCCCCACCCCCACCCCCGTACCCCCCTGGTCTGATGATCTCACCCCTGTGTTCTCTGTAGGCCTCATTTCTCCTGAAGGTCTCCTGCTCTTCCTGTTGGGACCTGAGGCCGCGGTCGTCATGCAGGACAGACTGGCCAAGTGTCAGGACATGACCCAACCTTTGCCCCACTACTTTGTCAAGTCGTCCCACAACACATACCTGACAGGTCACATGTTCAACTCAACTTTTTTATTTCATCTGTTCTAACTATTCATCATTAAGATTTTTTTCGTTTGGCAAAATATTTGGTATTTTTTGGCTAAATATTAGCTTTGTTAGTATTCATATTAAGGGTTAAGTTAGCATTTTGTAATGTTTAATAATGTTGAAATGTTTCTTTTTGTTCAGTTGGCTCTGGATTTATTTCAGGATAGGCTAGTAATGTGGTTTTCAGAGTGGGTTTCAAGGGGGGGCGGGGGAAGAGGACGGGGGCCTCAGAAAATTGGAGGGAACTTTTTTTTAATATTTATATATACATTTATATCCATTGTCCAGAACCGTAAAACATGATTCTGATGTTTCCGATGGTACATGAACGCAACATTAGCATGATAGCGTCATAATCTGTGTAAACTTGGCACCGTTTGCTTACGTTATCAAGCTGCTCTGCTCTTCAAGCTAGCGTGTAGCTAGCTAGCTAGCGCATGTTCGCTAATACGTTTATAATGCTAAACACTTGTAGCGATAATTGAAAAGTGAACAAAAGTAAGAAAATTCATTCTTAAAGTTCAAAGTTTCTTTATATAATTTGTAACATTGTCTGTGGGTTGACATAGGGGGGTCTCCAGCCAGAAGCTAATGCTGTTTGGGGGAGCCTTAGCATGGAAACGAAAGCTAGGAAGTTCTTTTTTTATGGCAACTCTGAGCTAATTCAACTTTCAGATATGTCTTAGTTGTTGGGGTTTTTTCTGTCTGTATTTTATTAGTATTAGAAGAATTGTTCATAATTACTAATAGTAATATTTTGACGCATTTAGCTATGTTTTAGCTTATTATGCTAGTTTTTTTAAACCATGTATAAATTTCAACTATTTATTTGGCTACATACCTGACTAACAAATAACCATTGTAGCTTATTTGCTCTGACTTTTTGTGAATATTTTGCCTAACCATATGTTAGGTTAAGTGACGTTATGTGTAATTTATGGCTCTTTTATGGTTCCTCAACCTTCATTATGGCCATTATTATTATTATTATTATTATAACTATATCTTGTCTTTTATTATAAAAAATTGTAAGATCTTTTCTTGGCCCCAACAACACAATATGTGAAGACAGAGTAACATCAATGATCTATAATACTGTGTCAGACAGAGAACATTCTAGACTCATACAGAACTGTGTGTCTGGACCCTGCAGCCGGTCAGTTCTCCGGTGTTTCCTCTCCGGAGATGTACCGCCAGTGTTTGCTGTCTGGCTGCAGATGCCTGGAGTTGGACTGCTGGAAGGGAAAACCTCCGGAGGAAGAGCCAATCATTACACACGGCTTCACTATGACAACTGAGATTCTCTTCAAGGTAAACAAAGGCATTAGATATGAACAGTTATTCTGATTTATTTATTACTCTGTGGATTTCTAGTGAACTTTTCTGTTTTTTTTTTGTTTTTTTTTGTGGTTAAACCTTGGATTCCTGTGGACGCAGCATGCATTCTATCAAAGTGACTTCTTCCTGTATACACTTGCATTCTTGAAGTTGTTCACGCACTGATAAAGAGAAAGACTCAGAATGCATTCTGGGAATAATGCTAAAAATGCTATAAATTCTCAGATTACCTCTTCATTCATGTCTATGTGCAGATTAAAGAGCCAGAGAATGTGACAGCCTAACTGGACAGTGTAACACACACACACACACACACACACACACACACACACACACACCTCATGCTGGGGAACCTCCTCCCTCTGCTGCCTCTTCATCCTCTCAGACCAACACTTCCATTTAAGGTCAGCCAGAGTTCTTCAGTCTGCAGAGTCCTGACAGAACACCTCAGCTCGGTTCACTGCCAGACTGTAGATCTGATCTGAGCCTCTGACTTTGGGGCTCCTGCAGTCGTGCAGTATTTTTTTGCAGTTCATGTCGTCAGGTCTAAATTGACAAAGACTGAAATCCTGTTGTCTGTTTGTGTTGTTGTTGTTGTTGTTGTTGTTGTTGTGTCAGTGTCGTGTTTTCAGCTGAAATGTATGTTTACATTTCAAATTCAGAATGCATTCAAATCATTTTAACATCAGGCAGTGTTTTTTTTTTCATGGTGTCTGTCTTGGTTCTGGCCCAGGTTCTGGAAGAGTCTTAAGTGGAAAGTTGTTACAGTAAAACTCAGAAACTCTCCACGCCCGCAGCCTTGGACGAGACAAAGTATTTAAAGTATTCAGTGTTTCCCCAACCCTCACACTCTACAGTTTAATTCAGTACTGCAGTATAAAAATGAAACTGTTTTAAAGAACCAATCAAAGGACACTAAAGAATTCCATAGGTCAACATGTTGTGCTCTGTCTCCCCTGTAGGGGGTGCTACAAACAAAATGTTAATAAATGTTTGTTTTTTAACTTTAATTGATGTTAATAAATGGACTGATTAACTCATAGAAAATTTTAAAGTTAAGTTTAAAAATGTTTCCTTATGTGTAGTGTTGTCCAATATTACCTTTTCGCTGATATCATCCAGATACTTAATTTCCGATTCCAATATCAACCGATACTCATATATGCGGCCGTTGCACACCATATCATATTTTCACAATGACAATAATTCACTTTCACTTCAAAACATATTTTTAGTTCACATCATCTGGTGAAACCCAGGCTTTGCTTTATCAACAAAACATATTTTTAGTTCACATCATCTTTGCTTTATCGGGTTTTCACAATTGTAGGAAAAGCTAACTGCTGCTAACAAGTCTTACCAATATTGCGTAATTATGCTAATATTTTGGACGATAATATTGAGTTGTCTAATATTATCTAATAGTATCATCACTACATAAGGAATATAAAATGTAATCATTATCTAGTCACCGGCCGGAGGTGTGAGTGGTTTTTGGGGCAGGAAGTGGCCCCTGGACCAGGACTTTAAGACAACTGCTGTCAAACGTCAGCTGAGACATGACTTTAACTAGTAAAAACCTAACTATTTTTAACTCCTAAAGGTCGCCAGCTTTTGGCGTTTTTGGAGTTTCTTTGATGCGTAAGGACAAGCACTGACTAAACATCCTGTGTTTCTGTTGTGCAACAGGATGTGATCGAGGCCATCGCTGAGAGCGCCTTCAAAACTTCCCAGTATCCAGTTATTCTTTCCTTCGAGAACCACGTCGATTCGTAAGCGCGTTCCCAGTTTCATCATAAAAAAAAAATTCAAGTACAAACAGTGACAAACAGTGTGTGAGTGTGTGTCGTTACAGGGTGAAGCAGCAGGAGAAGATGGCCAACTACTGCAAAACCATATTTGGTGATGCCCTGCTGACTGAGCCGTTGGACAAATACCCTGTGAGTTCATCTCTGTGACACAGCTCGCTGTCTGAACAATACATTAGATATGGTTTATACAGATGGGGGGGGGGGGTTTAAGGAAATGCATTTAAATAAATCTGATAAAGTATCATACAGTGTGACTCATTGGAGAGCTGCAGAATAACATCCTCAGCACACGACAAATAGATGATGGGGGTTAGAGAAGCAGCTGCTGCATGGATGTTGTTCTGGATACAGCTCTGATTCCTCCTCTTTTTTTTTTCCTCTTCTTGATAAAAAATAATTAATTTTGAAAATCTGAACATACGACAAAATAGAAGAGATCTACAAATTAAAAAAAAAAACATTCTGTCATTATTTGTGACTCAACAGTGCCCCCGGAGGTCACCCTCAGTATATATTTTAGGTCCACCAAATTTCGCAGGCATTTATTTCAGCTATTATTTTTAAATTTTGTTATGTTTTATTTCAGCTATTATTTTTAAATTTTATGTCAATTTATGCCCGTCATTTTTTTTAAAGATCAGCTCAAGATCTTAGAACCTTTTAAGCGAACGGCTCTGAGGTCACCAGATAAAATGTTGAATCTTGTCTTTTCTGAAAGGTTTCTGAAAATAGGAATTACAGTGTTTTATATAAAGTTCAGTGGAGAATTTAAACACATTTCTGTGACTTGACAATATTCATATCTACAAAAGGGGGGCGCTATAGCCACTGTGTTATTGTAGTTATCAAATAAACCCAAACTTTAGTCACTCAGGTAAAATGAGAAAGAATTAACTAAAGTTTGATTTGATCAAAAACTGTGTCTAAAGAAACCAAGATGGTAATAATTTGATGTCATCCTGGTTTGACAGGAGATTAATTTGACCTAATCTGACCTCCATGAGAGTTGTTCGGTGTCCTGCCGTTTGTTCTGTGAAATCCTGATCGAAAGCTGCTTAATCCTTAAGCCGGATTGATTTTCTCACTTTCTTAAATGATTATGTCCAGCTGAAGCCAGGCCAGCAGATTCCCAGTCCGTCAGAGTTACTGGGAAAAATCCTCATCAAGAACAAGAAGGGCTGCCACGAAAAACCAGCCCAGAACAAGAAGACCGGCCCAGACCTGACCACGACCACGACCACGACCACGACCGTGACCGCAGCCACAGCTTCAGCCACACAGGAGCCCGCGCTGAACACCCAGGAGAACCAAGGTGATGAAATGCTCAGATTAAAGTGTGGGTCAGACCCGTTTGGTTTTTCCTGACAAGCCAATTAAATGTGAATTCAGAAGGGGACGCAGCTGTGGAGGACGCAGAGGAGCAGGAAGACACGGAGGAGCAGGATGAGGAGAAAATGAAGACATGCGATGAGGTGGAGGAGGACGACCGCACTTTCACTGCGTTACATCATTCCTGCCTCGTAAAAGCAGATCAAGTGTCAGCCCACTTCCTGTCAATTTCCTGCAGGGCACAGCTGGACAAGAAGTGACAGCGTACGAGGCCATGTCCTCCCTGGTCAACTACATCCAGCCCAACAAATTTGTCTCCTTCGACATCGCCAAAAGTAAAAAAACACACAACGCAAAATTGTTTATTACATCACACGCAGCAACAGTGGAGTAAGTCTGCCTTGTTGGGAGTTGTGTAATCCCCGTAATCGGCTTTTCTCTTTTCTTCAACAGAGAAAAACAGGAGTTACGTCATCTCGTCTTTTGTGGAAACCAAAGGGGAGGCGATGATTTCCAAGACGGCTGTTGAATTTGTGGAGTATCTTTTAAGACTGTGTTGCACAACAAAAATAAAATAATTGGTGTCCAAATGGAAAGAAAATGTTTACGTGACAGTTTAAATCTGTGACATTTTCAGATACACTTTTTTGAAATTCCTCCCAAACAACAGATGCACTTAATTAACTATACGTGTATAAAAATATATATAATATATGTACGACAGAAAATGTCTGCAGCCTGATGCAGTTTTTAAAGTTGCAAAAACCTATGATTTAGTTTAAATTTAAATTTCTCAGACTGTTGACTCATGTCTTATTTTTTTTAACCAGGTGAAGGTCAGTGAGCCTAACCCTGACCTTCTTGACCTGACCAGGGTCTTTCTGGTCAGTCAGGATAGAAGATTGGGGTTTTATGTTTTTGCAGAAGGCGTAAAAACTCCCTCCACAGACAAAACTCCGTTCTTTTAGCTTCAAATACTTCAGTATTTAACATTACTGTCATATTTCCTTTTCAACTTTGTTTTCCTGAAGTAATCCTCCTCAGGTACAACAAGAGGCAGATGAGCAGGATTTACCCCAAAGGAACAAGAATGGACTCCTCCAACTACAGCCCTCAGCCTTTTTGGAATGTCGGCTGCCAGATGGTGGCGCTCAACTACCAGACAATGGGTAGAATGGACACTCAAAGCGTTGATTTGATACCGAAGTGCTTCATGTGTTTAGTTGAAGATCATTGAGGCTGAACTTCTAGTTGTCACCACAGCGAGGCAGTGTTGCGCCTCTGTGAGCTGCTGTTGTGTTGTGACTGCTTCTCCTCAAACCTTCTCTGTCCCTTATACATCAGATCATTAGCAAAGATCCACTGTGTGTGTGTGTGTGTGTGTGTGTTTTCTTCAGATTTCCCCATGCAGCTGAACCTGGCGCAGTTTGAATTCAACGGTCGAACAGGATACCTGCTCAAACACGACGTGTTGCGTCGGAGTGACAAGAAGTTCGACCCTTTCTGTGACAGGATTGACACGGTGGTGGCGAGCACGCTGACCATAAAGGCAGGTTCAACACCCGTCCTCACAACAACATCACCCCCGTCTGGAAATAAAACATAGAACTGTTCAAAGATTCAAAGCATTAGAAAAACAAAATTAACTTTTTTGCCGATATTATGCAAATACTTTCTGATTCCGGTATGAACCGATACCGACATAGCTTGGCAGTGGTGTCCTGGTGGTTAAAGAAGTTAAGTGCCGCCTACTCACTAAGGTGATGGGTTAAAGCAGTGTTTTTCAATTTATTTCTGCCATGCGCCCCCTAGGGGCCAGAAGTTTTTTCACCCCACCTCGAATTGAAATACTATTGCAGGTCTGGTAATGTTTATTTATTTTTCTGTTGCTGCCACCAGCATTCTGTATAAAAATAGAATAACAAAATGGGCTGCAATGCTGCCATCTAGTGACTTTCAATTTCATATACAGCCGTTTTAAAAAAAATATATTTTTAGGGCAAACATCATTCAAACTTTCACTTTCATATACAGCCGTTTTTAAAAAAATATATTTTTAGGGCAAAAATCATTTAGTGTAACCCAGGCATCGTTATCATAGGGTTTTCATTATCGGAGGAAAAAAACGATAACGAATCTTACAGATATAACTCAATTGGTCGGTTGATAACGTTGTCAGTTCCATACTGTAGCGGTTGGCACGCCTGCCTAAGAAACAGAAAGTTCTGGGTTCAATTCTCAGAGGGACCACATGCTGGCGTAAGCGTATCTGACCTAAATATAGGATCAATAAATTTCACTTTTTATTTTCTTTTAGTTCCAATGCAGTGAAACAGATAAACCAACAATCGCAGCTTACAGCTGTTTTAAGTCTATAAACTGAGCTCTTAATTGCAGTCAGATTTTCTGAGAAGTCAGCGTGTGTGTGTGTGTGTGCGTGTGTGTGTGTTCACACAGTTTTCTCTGCAGATTGAATGCAGACCGTGTAATAACACAAGCCTCCTGCTGAGGCCGATACAGAGTTCCTGGTATTCAGCCGACTCTGCATGAGCCTAAAAACCCAGGATTCTATTTATATCCACCGCGCCCTGGTCACAGATCCATTCCACACAACGGGACGCGTCCATGTTGTGAAGATTTCACGCGTGAACATGACTCATGCCGTCTTGTTTCCTTCACTAGATCTATTCAGGACAGTTTCTATCCGACAAGAATGTGAAGACGGGAGTAGAGGTGGAGGTGATCGGGCTGCCCGGAGACCCCAAGAAGAAATACCGCACCAAGTGGTCGACCACGCCCAATGCCATCAACCCAGTGTGGAACGAGGAGCCTTTTGTTTTTGAGAAGGTGCAGAAAACATGGTCAAAATAAATGACAAAAAAAAAACAACGTTTCTTCCCCACGACTTCAATCTTATGTCACGAACAGATCCTGCTTCCAGAATTGGCCTCTCTACGGCTCGTGGTCCACGAGGAGAGCGGGAAGTTTCTGGGCCACAGGATCATCCCAGTTGATGCCCTTCTATCAGGTCATCCATGCTGCATGACAATTTGCATAATTTAAAATTCACCCCAGGCCTCAGTCACAGGAGCTGCAGTCTTATCCCAGGGTTGGTTTACTGTATGCTCTGCAGGTTTCCATCACATCTGCCTTCGCAGCGAGAGCAACATGCCTCTCACTCTGCCCGCGCTCTTTGTGTACATCGAGGTGAAGGATTACATCCCCGCTGCCTTTGCAGGTACTTGGTTTTTTGACTCAGTGTCTTCAGAGGAGGAAGAAAAGCTCTGCTGTAATTGAATCCATGCGTCGACACTGACATCAGTGAAGACGATGTAATTGAATTGTAGTAAACAGTATAGGACCTTCAACATGGTCCACCACTGGTGTTGTTCTTAAAACTCTTCCCTTATGCGTTTCCCTCCACCTCAGATTTCACAGACGCCTTATTTAACCCGACCAAAGGCACAGAGAAGACGACAAAGACTAACAAGGAGGTGAGGTGACATCTGCTGGTGTGAACGACCTGCTTCAACCTGAGCCCGTCCAAGAAACTGGGCGCCTTCTTAGAAACTGGAAAACGTTTCCTGAAGCCTTGGCTTTTTTGTTCTCCAGTTTCTAAGAAGTAATCAGATAAATATGATTTTTAACATTGTCCTACTTGGAAATGAACTCCGTCGATACGGCAATCATCGTCTTCTGTGAATTCAGACGTTGCCTTGAAAATTTACAGGGAACGATCAATGATTTCTCACCGCTGTCAGGCACTGACTCTGTCTTGTGAAAAATAACAAATACAACCAAAAAACCTTGAAAGGCATTTCAGATTTATTTTCCTCCAACAACATGTTTTCCAAGTAGCACATTAGGAGTCGAAGAGAGATTCAAAGAAACAGAACGCACAGAACGTCACAGTGACAGGGAGAACAAGGCAGAACAGTTCAATTGAGGGCAGTGGTTAAGGAAGCTGACTGGTGTCCAGAAGGTTGCAGGTTCTAATCCACAGGCCACCAGGTTTGGAAGGTTGCAGGTTCTAATCCACAGGCCTCCAGGTTTGGAGCACGACACCGTCCCCTCACACTGCCTCCAGGGCGCTCACAATAATTCACCTTACTAAATACACTTCCACTGGGTGGCAGCAGGGGGTTTAACTGTAAAAAAAAAAGCGACTCAGAGCTGTTGAAGAAAAATTTCTGGCAGCAGGGGGTTTAACTGTAAAAAAGAAAGCGACTCAGAGCTGTTGAAGATAAATTTCACGTCTTTCTTCAATTCCTGATCTGAGTTTATGTCTTTCTTCAATTCCTGTTAGTATAAAATCTGAGTTCAACTAAATAGGCCTGGGTTTCACACTATGTGAATAATTTGGGACTAAATTGAATTATATATATATATTTTGTGACCGTTTTGTTTGGTGGTGCACTGTAGGATTTTCTGAATATACGCCATGGTTCAAAAAAGGTCAGGAAACACTGGTTAACTAGTTAATCAGTAATGTCCTAATTTTTTTAATCAAACCTTTGGGTTACGATATTGACTCTGTGCCAACAGTCGTCCCTTTCCTACGTTTCTCCGTATGAGTTGCCTGCTGTGGTCCAACCACCTGGGGACAAAGCTCAGCCGAGCGATGAACCTGTCTCAGGTACTGAAGCTTAATAAAAATACTGGTTGTGACTTTTGGACCATATTGTTGTATTTGATGATCTGTTCAATCGCCTGATTGTTGTCTCCTCTAGAAAAGCCTGCTTTGGATGTCCCTTTGACGACGGACGCCGAGGAGGCGACGTCTCAGACCCCACTGGACATAAAACCAGAAGAGGTTCAAACAGAGGAGGTGACGCCTGACGCTCCTGCTGTTCCTGATCCAACACCTGATCCAGGAGCATCTCAAACTCCTCCTGAAGCCACATCTAACACCGTGGAGGAGGAAGCTGTCCCTGAGAGTGAAGGAACCCCGGACAGGAAGGAAGACCCAGCTGAAGACAACAACACCATGCCTGATCCCAGATCAGATTTGAAGCCCATTCCCCTACCAGGTTTAGCACGGATCCCACCTCCTTCGGTCATAGAATCAGACGAATCATTGTCTCCGACTCCTGCGATCAGTGAAGGTAACGCCGAGGTTTTAAATGAGCGTAGTAGAATTTGTCACTCGACGCCTTCGACTGTGACAGCTGAAGAACTGACACAGCACAAGAACTACGTGAAGTTCATCAAGCGACAGGAGCGGGAAATGAAAGAGGCGGAAAAAAAATATCAGAAAAAAACAGAGGATCTGATTCAGAAATACAGCGACTCCTTCAAGTCCATGAAGAAGAAGTCTTCGCTGAAGAAAAAGGAGTGAGAATTATTTTATTTTTTTTCATTTCTTTACTTGTCCTCTTTGACATTCCTAAATTAGTTTTCAAACAGTATTATGAACAGGAGGAAAATATTTCCTCTTTTAAAAGACGAGCCGTGGATGGAGTTGATGGTAGTTCGGTATCATGTGAGTGCTTTGGCATTTTAGGATAAATCACTTCAGCGTTTTAGGATTATTTAATAAAGTAGTCGATTCCACTGCTGACTCTCAAATGTCGAGAAGCAGGAGGCTGTGCTGTAGAGACGCTTGGATTTTAATTTGTGGTGACCAGGCTGGACGGTACAGGTGGCTCCTCGGTCTCTGACGTCCTCGACCTACGGTTTCACTAGTTAGTGAGCAGGTTGATTCTATTGTTTGTGTTGTTTTTGTGGAAATTTTTGCCCTTCGTTATGGCTTCCAGACATAAGTCAGACTCCTCTGATGTTTGTATGTCGTAGATTATGACGTTAACACGTTGTTAGCGTAGGTGGGTGACGTAGATACTAATGTACAGTATGTGAGTTCTTACTTGAAAATTAAGTTACTTTTATGCTGCAGGGAGTTCCGATATACACCGAGGACTCCATCTGTAGTGCTGAGACCTTCAAATGGTGGCATGCGGTCTATATCTGGCCCACAAGTCAACTATTTGCGGACCGGCTTTTTTATTTTCCTGTTACAACATTTTCAGAAAAATATTTCAGAAAGTCATCCCAGGACTAAAAGTTAAATCCTTACTTTAATAAACTCTAGGTCAGGGGTGTCAAACCCATTTTGGCTCAGGGGGCTGCATACAGTCTAATTAGATGTCAAATGAGCTGAACCAGTACAATCATAACATAATGAAGTCCACGTTTTTGTTTTCTCCTTTGTTTTCGTGCAAAGAAGTACAAGTATCATCAAGGGGGCCGGATTGAAGCCCCTCGCGGGCCGGTTGTGGCCCACGGGTCGTATGTTTGACAACCCTGCTCTAGGGTATTGTTTCGTTTTATAAGATTGTTTTGTAATTTTAATAATGTTAACACTCCAGTACTGCAGTAAAGCAGAACTGCAGCTGAGCCAAAAGCAGTAGAATTAATTTATAAACCCACTAATAAAGCTGATGTTTTTGTCCGTGTTACTATTTAGGTTAAATTCAGGGCCACGAAGAATTTCTCTCAGCTAATGTGTTTTTCTGCCTGGACGAGAGAATTAGATGATGAAGAGGATGCACTAAGCTTTTAGCATAAACACGGGTGATTCAACGCTGCATCAGGATTGAATCGCTGCCATGGACTTCCAGTAACTAAATAGCCGTGTCCTTAATTTATTACTCGGGGGTTTAGTGGCTGTTTGTCGATGAATGTTGATAAACATGACTAAATGTGCTGCTGTGTCACTTTGCATCCCCCAGGGAGGGGGGAGGCACCTCTGACCCCGCCGTGAAGGAGCGAGTGAAGGAGCAGAAGGAGAAGATGCAGAGTGAGCTGCAGTCTCTGTGGACGGAGCAGTACGATCAGCTGAAGAAGAAAAAAGAGCAGTTAGCCACAGAGGTCAGCGAAATATTCAATTTAATCTTCTGAACAGAAAAAAATATTGTAAAAAATTAAGAAAAGACAAAACTGACGGTGAGAAACACTGAATATAATGTCTTTTATTTTAGCTCCTTGTTTTCTTCTTCGGTGTTCCAGTTCGTAACCCTTCTGTTCTGCTCCTCTGTCTTCGTATCTCATCATCAGCGTGGTCTGCAGCAGCTGCTGTCACTGACAAACACTCAGACCTCAGATAGACAGATGCGGCCGCTCGCCGTTTACCGTAAAAGAGCTTCTGTGAGGCAGTGAACACAGAGACGGCTGAGAGCTGAGAGTCAATACTGGAAGAAATTACAATCATTAAAATAACCAGCTAATACATACATTTTATGAGAATACGTTATAAAAATGATCCCACCAAGAACGTAATACATGTGGCACAAACAGAAAAGTATGACTTTTATTTTATGAATTTCAGCAGCTACGCTTTCCCTGCAGTAATGGTGCACTGAGGCCAGTTGTTTTGTACCGCGCTAAAGCCCGAACAGCCTCTCCTCTGTACCTCGCTGGCCCAGACTTATAGTACCCCAAAGGCAATTGAGCTGAAGTCAGTGACTGTTGTTTATACCCGGCTAAGCGGCGCGATCGAGAGCGAATCTGACAAAGTCTTCAAACTTGTGGGTCCTCGCCAATACTTTGATTTATCAACTTCAGGAGGTTTTGTCCAGGAAACCCCACGAATAAGTGGCCCTAGTTCTTAAGATAATATTTCATTAAGATAATATTTTAATCTTAGTCAAGTACTTTTGCTTTTAAATGACCTAAATGATCAAATTTTACTACCAATTAGAGGTAATAAAGTAGATAATTATAATGATATCTTATTTTAAATAGATTATTATTTTCTTGGTAGTAACATTTATATATATATATATATATACATATATATATATGTATATATATGTATATATATATATATATATATATAATTATCTGTGTACGTGTGTGTTACTTTTAGAATTTTAATAAGTCCTGGTTCACAAACATCATTATTTCCATTCCCGTCAGAGTAGCTTCTCCTTCATTTATCTCTAACTGGTGATGAATTATGATGCGCTCACATCTCCCATGAAGCACCTGTTCTTCAGTTACCGCAGTTTCACCTTTCAGTGTTGCGTTGTGTTGTGTCTGTGTTTACAGGGCAAACAGCCAACCTTGTAGAGACACAACTCTCATAAGACAGAACGCTCAGTCAAGTGCACTAGGGCCTCGAGATATGAGCTACCCCTTAAATTCGTAAGCAACTTTTTCAAGATTTTCCTTGTGTTACGAGGAAACGTCTCAACTGAGCTAAATAGGGCCTCGAGATATGAGCTACCCCTTAAATTCGTAAGCAACTTTTCCCAGATTTTCCTTGTGTTACGAGGAAACGTCTCAACTGAGCTCAATTTTTCCACTTCACTGGAAAAAAAAAAATTTACCAATTTTTGTAACAATAATATAAAATGTTTTCTTAATTGTTATTATTTTATATTATCAATATATTTTTTTATATCTATGTTTTTGATGTTTAGATAATGGAGGATTTTTTGGTTAATTTATTAACAGTATATTTCTGGGGGGCTAGTACTAATAATTGGTTTTTAGTTTTTTTTTTAATGGGGAAAATTCAATCGAGATACGAACGGATTAAACACGATATTGAAGCCTCACTGTATTTACACAAAGTTGCCTCTTCAGTACGCAGTACTGTAAAATGTCAGGTGACAGCGGTGCGTGAACTGAACAAAATTAAAGATGGCTGGATGTTTTTTGTTCAATCCCAAAGAGTAAACCTAACGCACAATAGTTGCAACTTATTTATTTTCGATTTTAAATCGACTTGTAATAATACTTAAACATTAATTAATAACAAAAAACATAGACCAAAGATAAATAAAACGTATTTATTTGACATAAATGGTTGTTTCGTGAAGTCACTCGTCATCTACCTAATCATCGTCATCGTCTTCAGCCGCCATTGCCCGCGAATCGTCATCGTCTCCACCTGCTTCCACCAGCTGCTGCCGATTACCTGTTCCGTATTTAAGTCTCTGTGGCTCTGAACGCAGTGTCAGATCGTCTGGTCGTCCATGTCAGACGTCCCAGCTTTCGTGAAGTTAATTTGTGTTTTGCTTGTGTGTTTGTTTGTTGTTGCAACTGTCTGTCATTCACCCAGTACTCGCGGTGCGCGTAAGTTCACGCCGCCGCACCGTTAGCTCGTAGCTAACCGGGAAAGCATTATTTTACTTCCCTATCGCCTGTAACAACCACCGCAGTTAATGCCGATCAGAATCGATCACAATCCCGATCACCGCCACCTCAGCGCCTCACTGCTTAGAGTTAGAGTCTGGATGTAGCGAATCCCTGCCATGTTGACCCCGCCCGCTCCAGTCCCTTTGGAAAACACCCGTCTGTTTAGGGACCGTCTCCAAGTTACTTCAGCCCCGATTATTGAAATTGAACCGCGAATTTCCCCACTGTAGGATGAATAAAGGACTTATCATTACTTACCACAGCATAATAAACTAAGCTAAGTTTTATTAGTCTGTGCATTTTATGGTTCTTAATGATAGATACTTGGGATATGGCTATCTATCTATTTATGTGCTCTGCTGTGATTGGGTCCTATTCACATCTTTGTTAGTACTATCTGATCAGAGTTGGACCCAATACACTGTGGACCAGACAGAGTGCCCCCCAGTTCTGTCTTATCTCCAACATTTTGAGGTCCCTGCATGGCCTTTAACTCTGGAGGACAGAGATTGACTGCCTTTTCAGCACAGGTTCAACAACCTCCATCCACCCTAGTTCAGTTAGTTGCTCCGTCACCATCCCTGGTCTGTTTCTGAACCAAGTGTGACGGTACCTGAGGGTTTCTGGGATAACCCTGATGGGAGCAGACCCATCCTCACCAACTGATCCATTCTGTTCACTTAGCCCAACTCCTATACCAGTGAGGCAGCCAATACCTCACTGGTAGGGTTCTGCTGTGGAGAACAACTTAGTGGAACTACCCAACATCATCCTGTTTCTCCTTTTAGAAGTTCTCCCAGGTACTCCAAAAGGTCTTTGGACATAGCAGACATAAAGACATGTAAGGCATGAGATGTGTTACAGGTGTTACTGTCTAGAAGGGGTATAGATGCTATATATGGTATGGACAGACCATAAAAACCTTGGGTATCACCAAAAGACTCATCTTGCCAGGCTAGGTTCTCTTCTTCAGCAGTTTTTCAACTTTGTAGTGTCCTGTAGCCCTGGTTCCTGAAACATTAACTTTCTTTAGAGAAAGCCTTTCCAGTTTGCGACCACTCCAAGCCCCGACACAATGTACCACTGGGACTCTACCAAAACTAACTGGTTCCTCTCTGCCACTAGTTCAATATTTTCAGAGACTCTTACTGGCCTACCATGGTCTGGAGGGAGCACTGTCGTCCTAACTGTTGTGCACAGGTTTAGTAAGATGGCCCGTGTTGTTACCCTACCTACATTAAGCTTCTGTTTGACAAGGGGTCTGCACACCCTGTCGTCCTGCCTGCCAGGATCTAAGGTGTCCGTCTCAATTGTGGTCTCTAATGGATGGCCCGAGTTTACATCCATATTTTGGAAGAGATATATACGGTCTCGATGGGTGATTCGACAAGCTTTTTCTCAGGGTTTGACCCTTAGTTGAATGGTCAGACAGAGTGGGTTAAACAGAACTCCTTAACCCTCTTCTCTGAAAGTCTTCGGTGGGTTAAGTATGCCCACATATCCTGAACAGCGTGTACTTGGCTTCCAACCTTCATTGGTTGGTCCTCCATTGAAAAGAGAAGAGAAGTTAGTTGCCCTTCTGTACAGATATTCGCCCGGGTATGTTACAGCCACCATTCTTAGGTACCAGTGGACAGAGGGTTTGACTGTATAGCGATGACCTTTCCTCCCTTGCATAGTGATCACTTTGATGGTGCGTTTTGGCGGTCACATTGCTGTTCCGATGGTTAGTTGTTGTCCAGCAAAGCAAACCTACACTTTGGGTCTAATGGGCAACTGGTTACTGGCTTAATGTCAGTAACAATCACCGCAATCTTTCCCATCAGACTCTGTCAGAATCCCTGACATCACTACTTCCTACTGATGTGTAGTCCTCCAATCAGGTCTTTGTTTTACATCCTTGTTAGTTTGGCCCACATTCTCTACAAAGTTGCCTTTGTAGATCCTTTCAACTTATACATCTCTTCTTCGCTATTGCTAGCAATGGGCAACAGCAGAGTCAGCCAAAACTTCCCCAGTCCAGGGCTAAATATAGATGTTGGGGCTAAAACTTTTTGAAGAGTTAATAATATTAATCTTCAATAATTTTATGTAAAAACAATAATCTACTGTCATGTAAAGACCATGATCAATTCCTAACCCTAGCGGTAAGAGTTTTCGAGCATATCCTACCCCAAACCTGCCATTTACTGCGGTGGTAAACCAACACCACCTTTCTCCCTCATTGAACAGTGTTGGAAATAATTTCACAGCATGCAAATTCTATCTTTTGAACAATTCCAATTCTTCCATTGTTATTTATTTCAAACGTAGGTTATGGACAACGTAGTTAGCATCTCGTTTACGTAAGGTCACACCATAGCAACTGCACAGGTATAAGAGGTTGTCGAAAAAAACTTGCTACAAAACTCAGCCACATTGTTGGTTACATAAACTGCTACAGTGCTACACTTTACAGTGTGTGTCCAGGCCTCGCTGTGTGAAACACTTCCTTCTTTCTGTTCCCACAGAGACTGGCCACACTGATGGAGTTGGCCACTGAGAAACACGTCAGCGAAGCAAAGATCCTGGAGAGGTGTGAACACACATGCAACACTTTCAGGACACACTGTGATGGGTCTGCAGAGCCGCCTTTAATTTAAGGCCCTAAAAATGCTATCATGTGACTCTGTTTGTGGTGTGAACAAGCTAAAAGAAAGTAGCACAGAGTGTGTGTCCGTCATCTGAGGAGGAACATGTAGTTTTTGTACAGAGGATGGCCCCCAAAAATGAGCTGATCCCCACAGTGTGCCGGCTGACGTTCGTTCTTGGCTCAGCTTTGGTGCTGTTTGTGTGTGTATGTTGTTATCCCCAGCACCCAGCTGGTAGATGGGTATCTCAGGGCAACCATTATCTAACAGGTGTTTAAACAGCATCAGGGCACTGAAGGCAACCCTGTTCATCTCCCTGGCATCAACCGCACAGACACTAGCTCCATTTTCATAGGGGTTTTTTTTTTCTACTGCAAATAAAGGGTCAGATCAGGGACATTATCCCTGTAACTCTTGTTTATTTTATTGGACAACTTTTGATGTTTAGGTCAAATTTTCTCAACACTGTTTTCAACATATTTTGCAGTGAAACCAATGATGGCAAGAAGAAAGCAGGCTCAAAATCTTCAAAGAAAGGGAAGTGAGTGCTTCATGACCTTGCCTTGAAAAGTTTGTGCATGCTGTATCAAGTGCCAATCACTTCATTTAAAAAAAGGGATTTTTTACATGAACCTCTCAGATATACTTCTCTGTGGCAGCACAAAGCACGTGAACAACAGTGTCAGTATTTGATGATTTTCCAACAGGATGGTCAGAACTTGAATTATAAACTATTATTATCTGTTTTTAGGCTGAAAAAGGCAGGCAGCACAGAGCTGCTGGACGAGACGAGTCAGTCTGATTCTGCAGTAAGTGAACCTTTTTTTCTTCCTTTGAGAAGTACATAAGTGTTACATATTTTCGAAGCAAACCCTGCTAAGGTATCCCTACCGTCTCAGAACTAAAATACTAAAGTCTGACCCTTTGTCGTGGGTCATCAGAACAGTAGTCCACGATGTGATTCAGGAGATTTTGTCCTTTGTGGTTTTGAGGACTGGGTGGAATTGAACCTAAAACCTGCTTTATGACAGGGATCCTACTATTTTACAATAAGAAAACCAACGTTATTTTGGTTTTTTTATAACCAGATAACATTTTGTGGAATAAATGTAACATTAATATTTTTGTATTATAGAACAGACGAGTGTCACATGAAAGGATGTGTTTGGCTGTTTCGTCAAATCATCAACTTTCCTGGGACTAAACTGGTTTTACTTTCAGTTCTTTGAGATTGGGGCAAGACTTGTAAATGGATCCAAAAGTACACGGCGTGATGCTCGATAGAGGCTTTGAAAATGGCAGAGAGTTTGTGAAAGTGCTTGGAATTCCACTTGTGCAATGCTGGAGCGGCTAATGAGTACAGGATCACGGTGCACAGTATCCTAGCGGAAGCTTAGTTGAGGTGAAAAAGATCATTAATAAGAAGTCATTGGAAGAAGCCACTGTTGGGCATTAGAATACAGATTTGTTGTGGTGTCCTCTATCTAGAAGAAACGGATGAAGACAGTTTGATGACACACAGTACCTGAGGTATGGGTTACAAAGTTGTATGAGTGAAAAGCTGCAGGAGAAATCCTTCAGATCTGCAAGAATGGAATCCTCTGATAGAGGCACTGCTTGCAGAAGAGTTTAAACTGAAACAGTTCTGTTCTTCTGCTCATGTGTATCATGTGGAAGAGTGTATTTGATGCATCGACTCCGGCATGACACGTATCACGGAGAGTGTCCGTCTCCGATACTTGTGACTTCTTTATGAAACACCGTCTCCGATACTTGTGACTTCTTTATCAAACAACAGGCTGCAAAAAAAAAGAAGAGAAACTAAAGGTGAAGCTTCTGTATCTGCTGGTCTGTTCGACACCTATTGTACTTAACAGTGTAGCTATGGTTACAGGGAGCAAGTGTCTGAGGATTTGAAGCAAACGTGAAATAAATATCACTTTGGGCACAGAACAATACTCACCTTTTGAATATCTGCACAAATGCCACAGACACAGAATACTGTACATGTGCTTTGACATGTGAAGGCAGACACTTACTGTGTCCTTCAAACTCACAGCATCCTACACACGCACACACACACACACACACCCCTGCATGTACAGTCATTCACCCACACACACCACCCACACGCACAGACCCCCAGATCTCCCCGCCCCCGACATTTTCTCGCTGAGTGCAGGAGGCCCTGACCGTGGACTGGAGCTGTTTACCAAGTAGAGCAAATCCGTGAGTGGCGGGTGACTCACCGGCTCTCGTTGCTCCGTTTCCTCTTAGAGACTCCGACCTGCTGGATGTGAGGTTAAAGACTCGGTCGTTTCCCCTCTGCCCCTTCCTCATCAACTACCTGCAGGGGGCGGCGAACCCTTCTCCTCCACAGCAGCTCGTTTTGATCAACTTAACCGACAATCGCTAATTAATTATCAACAGTCTTTAAAACACAATCCCGCGCTGCACTTAATTGGCAATTAGTTGCAATAAGTGGTGTGTCGCGTTACCGGATAAGTCGGAACCTGTGGTGACTTTTCCGTATTGATTCCTTTGCTCTGGTTGCGTCCCACGGGTGTGTTCTATTGTCTGTACTCTGTACAAACGCAGACCAGAGAAACCTGAGCCGATGAGTCGCTTATAGACTGGTGAGCAGTCTTCATTCTTCACCTGATACCACAAACACACTCAGGGTAAAACCGCTGATCGATGCGCATCAGTGACATGTGGTGTTTTTCATTGGTTGGTTACAGTCCTCAGAGTTCAGCCCACAACAAGAGGCTCTGAAGGAGAAACAGGCGGGCACGCTGGAGGACGTCAAGACGCTAACAAACCAGGTACAACCGTCGCTCCCTGCTGTTTTTGAACAAAATCATTCAAAATATTTGTCAGACGTAGACATACGTGCTGTTTTTGAACAAAATCATTCAAAACATTTGTCAGACGTAGATTAGATTTTACGACTACTTTTACTAAAAGACAAGAACAAACACGAACATGTAACAACTATGTCCACTCAAATTCTGAACTAATTTCATTTGAAAACTACAGTAGGTCAGTGATGTGGTGGTTGTCTCCAAACAAGATCTAATGAAACATCTTTAAACATCACAATATCATCTGCATACAAGGAAATATCAAACAAAGTAATTGAGGATTTGAGAGGAATCTAAGGCAGATTTTGACTTGAAACTCAGTGGTTCCATATGGTAGCAGTTATCACACCTGTCTTACACATCTGCCTTACACGCAAAAACGTCGTGTGTTCGAGCCCTAGAGGAGATGCATACTCAATGTCGCCTCCTGTGGAAGCTTGTGTGGGTTGCAGACTCAAACTGTGAATTTCCCCATTATGGTACAGCTGAGGGATTGCTGTATGGCCTGCTGGGTTTATTTTTTCCAAAACTGGTACAAAAGTCAAAGGACCAGGTGCAGATAAAAAAAAAAGGTCGAATTATAAACTAGCTATGTTAAAAAAGTCACATGTGGGGAAGAAACCTGGGGAATAGATGAGACAAAATGCTCATCCAAAAAAAACAAAAAAACAAAAACTCTGAATAGATGAGACAAAATGCTCATCCAACAAAAAAAAAAACAAAAACAGGTATATGTATAGTTATTCACATTCACTCTGTCAGAGGGTTCATCCCACATCCCAGTCCAGAACCAGTACCATATAACAAAATAAAACCCAAATTCTTGCTTTCGGATACTTCTCTAATGAGAACCAATTAGGATTGAAACAGCCTGTTAGTACTTAGCTGTGTTAGTGTCATACAGGAGTTGACCTGTTGTCTTCATCTACGTCCATGTCACGGCTTAGATGTTGAATTAAATGTCCATTCTGTAAAACACACACATACCACGGGACCGAAACAAATGTTTTTCCAAATGCACTGTGAGCCGCGGCCATCTGTCCAGGCGGCGACGGAAGCAGAAAAAGTCCAAACTCAGCTTCTTCAACAGTGAATGATGTCATCGCTCCACTCACAACAATGCTCGGCTGTACGTTAGTAAAATCTTGGCAGCGGGTAATGAGCAGAGAGATGTGAGGTGAGTTACGCACCAACTCCAGATGGATGCTGGGTTTTTTTATGTCTTAATAGTAGTTTTAATTATCAATTTTAATAATAAAAAAAATACAGGAGTGGAGTTGGTGTGAAGCAGTAGGTGGAGATGATGGCTGCTTAGAATCAGGGAAATCGACAACATTAATCTTGGGGGAGGAAGTGAGGTTCAGGTTCCAGCTCTGACCCCAGGTCAAGTCGGTTCGAGTCACTTTATCAGACTCTTTTCCGACGCAGAAATCAATTTTTCTTTTGTTGGGCCAAAAACCAAGGTGTTATAACAATGTCGACCTGTCAGTTGGATGAATAACTGCCGACTCCTCGGTGCCCGCAGCTCAACCTGGAGGCTATGAACGAACACGCCCACAAACTCAGGTCGCTGCCGAAGGAGGTGAGAGACGCCGTGAACGTCTGTGTTAGCGCTCACTTCCCCGACCTCGTGGACCAGGCTGGAGACACCAAGGTGGACGGAGACAGCTGCTACGGAGACGTCTTCCTCGGTTGAGTCAAATGTAGCCCACGGGCTGGACCGTAGGTGTAGGACAGTCATTCCTTTTGAATCTTAGATGTTTTAATGTTAGCCAAATTTCCGAGTCAAATCACTTCATTTTTGATCTTGTTCCGTCTTATACTGTATGGAAAAGAAAAGAAAACCAAAGCTTTGGTGGAGGAATTTTTTTATTTATTATAAATCTGCCTACATTATGTTGAGGTGTACATATTAAATTACAAAAGTAAAAACAAATATATATTGTGTGGTTCTATTTGTTTTGTTGTTTAATGTGAAAATGGATGGATGGATGGATGGGTTCTATTTGTTTTGTTGTTTAATGGAAATAATCTTTATGCATCTTCATAAATAACCATCACATTTGGTGAATGGGTTCCAGTCGTTTCTCGCTGCTACGAATCTCCCAGTCACTAAAATGGGACGATGACCTTCTGGGTGGAGGCCGTCACTCATCACTGAGACTTTTCTTTTATCTGAAGGAGCTTAAAAAAATAAGTGAGGGAAATAAATTTAAAAAAAAAAAGAAGGTTCGTGTTTTTGGTAATTTTTCAACATTTTTAAAGGAGACAAAGAAAATAATGAAAGCGTCAGTTTGTTGAGTAGAGGCTGTGTGAAGGTCGGGGTTTTGAAGTAGCTTCTAAACTTAGGAATAATGGCCAGAAGTGTGTTCTGTGAGGTCAGGGCTGAGGGTTCGATAACCGACTGTATAAATAACCTGTTGTTTCTGTCGGTTTCAGCTAATGCTCGGGCTCTTCATCCTAATTATGGCCAGTCTGGATCGTCTTTTTTTTTAAATGAATAGATTGTTCTGTATTCTAACCTACTTTTATCACTGTGTTATAAATTCAACCTTTTTTTCGGCTGAAACGTTCTGACATTCAGTGCATATCAATTTGATGCATCTGCCTTCGTAATGTTTGTTTATATGTTTCGATAGTGACAGTAACACTGTGTGTGTCATTCATGCATTTAATCTGCGCCCCTCTTCAATGGCACTGTGCCCCCTCTAGGTGGTGCGCCCCCCATTTTGGGAACCTCTGCCCTAAAACATTAATATTGTCAAAGCCTGGTATGCAGTCCAACAAGTCTTCACACAAATCAGTTTGTGTATTTGTCTGAACCGTCAAACCGAAAATCCGTTTTTTATCTGAAGGAGAAGGTTCCTTCATTCACGATCGCGGCCGCGCGCTGACTCAGTGGGCGCAGCAGTCTGTTCAAGGTTTCCACTCGTTCCCCCCCCCGTTACTGAGCGAGCGCTCCTTCTGAGTTTAAGGATGAGTGACATTTGGAGACACATCGTGTGCCTGTGAGTCCTGCCACCTCGTCCACAACAGATGAACCGTGAGCTTCGCAGCGTGAAACCAGTCAGCTTTGAATCACCGGGCTCATCGTCTCTCATGAGATGACGGCGACTTCAGGAGCTCGACCCGCGAGCACCTGCAATCGGACGCACGTAAAAAATACAAAATACAAAAAAAAGTACTTTTTTTTCCCAATCGGACGCACGTAAAAAATACAAAAAAAAAAGTACTTTTTTTTCGCATTCGTTACTTCTTCAGGTGTTATTTCTTCAAGCTTTGTCTCCTGATCAGACCAATGTTGTTTTGGGCTCGTGACCCCATTTTGACATCACAAATTTCTGGCAACCCCAGAGTTGCCAGATTAAATATATCTTTTCCAGTTACTAGACTATTTCTCCGACGACCCCATTTGAAAACCAGGCGACCCCCCCCAATGGGGTTGCGACCCCAAGGTTGAGAAACGCCGCTGTATTTTCAAAGCCACAACTTAGATTCAGAGTGTGAGAAGTCGACGTCCCATCGTTTCTTCTCTGCTGTCGTTTCCTGTGTGAGCTCTGACCTACAGGAGGTGGAGACGATCACACGTCTACAGTCAGTCTTAGCCTGGAGTGAATGCCATCCTGGGCAGATATTATACACCCACACACACACCCCCACACACACACACACACACACACACACCACCTGCCATGTGGCTGGAGCAGGCTGTGTGTGTGTGAGTGTGTGGGATTCAAGCTCAAAAATTCAAACATTCAAATCAAGGTGTTTTTTTTTCGTGTTTTTTTTTCGTGTTAGTTCCTCGTACGTTGCCCAAAGGCTGCAGGAAGTTGGGATTTGTTGAAAGGTCTCTTACACAATCCCATTAAAGATCTGGTTTCACGAGTGTTCCAGGAATCTTATCCCTCCAGCAGTCACTCGGCCTCGACTCCTCAACGGCAGCAACCGAGGGACCGGGGGCAGCGCCCCCCCCCTACATACACATGCAAATTCTCTTCTCTGATATATGTGAACGATGAAGTGCTCTTCTGTCTCTTCTCTGGTCGTACGTGACAGAAAGGCAAGCTGGGTCTCCTAAGCAGACCCTGTATATCAGTGGTAACTAATGCTGTTTTTTTTGGGCATGTGACCCCATTTTGACATCACAAATTTCTGCCGTCGATTTCGGTCGCCAGAAATTTGTGATTATACAAAGTTGCCAGATTATATATACATATATATATATATCTTTTTTTTTCAATTACTAGACATTTTTCTGGTGACCCCATTTGAAATCCGGGCGACCCCACATGGTGTTGCGACCCCGAGGTTGAGAAACGCTGCTGTATTTTCAGTGCCCAGTAGTTTATTTTACAGACAAACGAACTCTTTCTTTCTCATATTTCTAACCAGATCTGGTTTTGATTTGGTCCTCTCCGCGTTCGCTCCGAGGCTGTGCAGGAGCCTGATAATATCTCCATTATGATTCACAGCCTCTGTGAGGCTGAGAGCATCTGTCTCAGTGTGAGTTAAGAGGAGTGAAGCACACACCAGCCCTGTGATCAACCCCCTGGCGGCTAATTTTGCTATTATGTAACCCTAAAGACGTCTGATTGGACCTGCCGCTCTGTGAATGCAGTCGCAATTCAAGGATTTGATGAATCTTGGATTTCATGATTGAATTATTCCAATGTTGATCCAACCTGAACTCATCCACACGTGGTGCTGTACCTGCACGAAAATAATATTTACAAAATAAATACTTTACAAAAGAAATCCTGCGCGTCGTCGAAGACGGAGAATCGCTGTAGCCGTGGATACGTGGCTTTAGTGCCAAACTCTGTTGTTGTGCAGAGTGAAGGTCAGTGGAGACGGTTTAACGAAAAGCGAAGCAACGGAGTTGATCAGAAAAGCAGCCTTTAAACTGAAACAGAATAAATCAAACGTCTCACCGTTATGGACACATATCTGCAAAACTTTTTAAATTTTTTTATTTAAAAAGACTTTAGATCATGGGTGTTAAACATATGGCTCGTGGGCCAAAACTGGTCCCCTAGGGGGTTTATAATCTATGAATGAAATAACTGAGAATAAGCATAGCTAGATACATGAAGAAGCTAATATTGTTGTAACAGCCAAACGTTAGCTCCTGATCAGCTAGGAGTAATTATAGCATAGCTTAGCATTATTATTATTATTATTATTATTATTATCATTATTATTATTGGATGTCGGCTTCACCGCTCTGTTCCAGCAGCAGCTCACAGGCTGGAGGGTGAGGAAAGCTGCGGCGCCACGGTTACATTCACACTGTCATGACAACGTGCACTCGGTGTTGTGTATGGATGAGTCATCCTCTCTGCAAACTAATCATTCTCACCAGTTTTATATATAAACTATAGCTTTTACTCAGTGCTCCGTGTAAAAACAGGTAGGAATCGAACGCCCGCCAACTTTAAGCCCTGCAAAAGAAATTTAAAAAGAAATGAAATGGTCTTGGGCTTCAGGGACGTTTGGAAACGAGAGGAGACTGAGCAGAGGTTGTTTTTTGTTTGTTTGTTTTTTTACTCATCTTTGTGTCCTGACTGATGTGACCTGGGTCTGATGATAAAATGTATAAAATTGACAAAAATCCAAACATTAAAATTTTTTTTTTTTTTTACTAAAGACTTTTAAAGACTAAAGAGCTGTAAGTCAGGGGCCACAAACTCCCACCCCGGGAGGTGGGGGGGAGGGGGCACTTCCTGGCCCCGCCAACCCTGCATATCTGGACTGTAACTAGATGTCAATAATATTTGAACCACGTAAATAAAGCCGACTTTTTTCAAACAGTCATAACAAATATATAAGTCCCGAATTTTCCGGACTATGAGCCGCTCTGGAGTATAAGTCGCACCAGTGCCCTCTAGCGGCTGTCAGTGTGAAAATAACGAACATGTAAACCTTCAGTGGTACAGGAGTAGCACATACGGGTACACAAGCCTAGAGTGCCCTCTAGTGGCTGCCAGTGTGTTTTAATATATATGTCACACCTGAGTATAAGTCGCAAACCCAGCCGAAGGATAATTCCCTTCCAGGATCTATTTATTTCTATAATTTGAAGTCAGTTTTGTGTTGGACTTGGAGGGAATGGGTTAAAACTCCGATGGATTCACAGTCTCAACGTCACATGACATGAACCTTGACATCTGTTGTCATTTCAGGGACAGCGGCGGTAACTCCAGGTGTGTCTGACCTCTCGGAGTGACCCTCACAAAAATACATTTGTTTTCCATTCCCAGAATTTATCGTCCTGCCAGCGGCGAGCAGGCGTTGGAGGCGGCAGACGCGGGCTGTCAGGACGGAGACGGAGAGGAAGCGATCTGCTGCTCCTCCGTCTCCCTCACATCCTCAAATGGAGGAAACTTCCACTTGATGTCGGAGATGAAGAAGGGGCTCCAGGTGGCTTATGGGAAACTGCATCACGTCCTAACGCGGTGAGCAGGATTGATGGTCTCCGTTCAACGGCAGTGACGGCTGTGATTACTGGAACAGGTCGGACCGCCGTGTCTATTCTCAGACGATAAGAACCAAGAGACGGCTCTGTTTTGACCGTTGAATGTTTTACTCTTTGATGTGATTTTTTTTTTTTTTTTTTTTGTAAACTTGATCTTTTATATTTGGGAAATGTTGCCTTCTCAGCTGTGGGCTAAACCAGGGGTTCACAACCTTTTCCAGGCCAAGGCCTCCTTATTACCTCCTTGGCAAACCTGCAGACACCGTAATAACACTTGTTTAGCGTGAGAATGTTATTAATGAGCATGTTTTCAGCTCTGCGCTAGCTAGCTTCGTGCTAACTTGAGAAGCAGAGCAAATTCATAGCAGGTGCAAACCGCCAGGTCTACACAGATTATGACGCCTCACGCGGAAGTTGCGGCTCT